ATATGCTTATTCTTCCTGCTGCACTAGACATTGTAAAGCAACACATAGAAAACAAAATGAACAGAAATTCTTTCCTTTATATCGAATACCATTAGAAAATGCATAGAAAGCACCTCTGAAGATTTGAAACAGTGAGTAATGAGCAAATTATACTATATTAGACTTTGATTATGCAATTGGGTTGAGGTATAGATTTAAATATATTCTCAGGTTATAGCATTTGTAGTCTAAATATGAACTACATGAAAAGTTACATTTTGGGGGCTTAAAGGGAAAGTAAATCAGAGAAATTTCATCTCTGAAGTAAGTGCCTTCTTTAATAAAAGTCACTGTTCTAAAATGGCAGCAGACTCAGGGACTCCAAGAAGGGGCTAGTGGTTACCAAAGGGGAGGGGTGGGGGAGGGTGGGTGGGGAGGGAGGGAGAAGGGGACTGAGGGATATTATGCTTAGTACACATGGTGTGGGGATCACGGGGAAAACAGTGTAGCACAGAGAAGGGACATAGTGAATCTGTGGCATCTTGCTGTACTGATGGACAGTGACTGCACTGGGGTATGGGTGGGAACTTGATGATATGGGTAAATGTAGTAACCACATTGTTTTTTCATGTGAAACCTTCATAAGAGTGTATATCAATCATACTTTAATAAAAAATTTAAAAAAATAACTGTTCCATGCAAAAACTGGGTGGGGGTATAATCAGCAATGGAGTATATGTATAAAAAAGGGTTGTGGTGTGAGGCTGTAGTTATATCAACATGCATACATAAGTATGATGATAAAGATGATGTAGATATACACATGGGCTCCATATAGAAATATATATTACATTTATCTGTAATTATATATATAATAAAAATTCCTATATATATGAATAGGAAAATATGTGTGTGTGTATATATACATATCCTTATTTTATGTATATATAATATGCATGTACATATATATATATTTACAATAATGAGATGGAGAAGGACAAAGAAGATCTTCTGGATCATTCAGAAGTTCTCAAGTTATCTCATGGAAAAGCAACATGTTTTAAAAAGTGACAGACTTCAAGATGTGTTATGAATATTTGTTTTTCAAAAATGCAGATGAGGTTCCTGGTTTGAATATAACAAATATAAAGTCGGCAGTGACTTACATTTTATCATCCTGATGTCATCCAAAGCAAAAAGGAGGAAAAACAGAAGCACAAACTCTTCTCAAGCACAAGCACACCACCAGGTGACCCCTGCAGGACGGGAAGCCCAGTGGAGAGAATGAGGAAATGTGCCGTGGGGAGGAAAGGGAGCATGAGTTCAGTGACTGCAGCGTGCAGAGCCAGCAGACACACCTCTGGATGTGTGCGATACACCTTAATAAGCAAACCCAGATCCCTTGTCTTTGCACAGGGCATATGTTTGCAACAGAAGATCCCCTGACCTGGTTTTGTTCCGAGAAGCAGAGGAGCTGAGACTGTACACTGAGTCACACAGCAAATCATATTTGTGGGAGGCTCTTTGTTTTTGTAGCTGTCTGGATACAGACAAGTCATGTAAAGTACTGTACAGCTGACAGTCTTCATTATTTGAGGAATAAACTCTAAACAAACTGTTGCCCCAAAGTCTGTATAACTGGAGCACAAAGACAGTCCCATGTAGTGGTTCCTTCCTTATATGAACCTCTTGCAAAAACATCTGGTCCGGGAAAGATTCATTTACTTGGAGACAAAAAAAAATTTTTTTTTAAAGGGGAAAGGAAAGCTTCCTGGTTTGGACAGCAAACGAAATCAACCTGAGATTGTAAAACAAAGTGACTGTGAACACTTGAAAATAACAAAGTATTCTAGGTCCTACAAACAAAAAGAAAGGAGAAGTTACAATGTTTACAATGGGTAGGTTGAATTCAGTCCAAAATTTTCTTAAGCAAGACAAGTAAGACCTTATATGTTAAAGGACAAATTGTGTAGGGAAAGTTCAATTGTTAAGAGTATCTAACTATCAGAGAGTATAACATCAACACTAATAAGACAAAAGTAAGAGATAGGATGTGATGTGAAAATGTATTAGTGGTAAAATACTTTAACTCATTTTTCAGCTCATGATAGATTATGTGGAAAAATAGGTAAAGATCATCTAAAGTAAATTGAACTTATACGTAGTTAGATTTTGAAACCTTCAATAAAATAAAACAAAAACCATTTTTTAAAATATCTGTAGAATTCTCACAAAAACCAACCATACATTAGGCCAAAAAGATAAACTCATTAATTGCCAAGATAAAGAATACACAAAAGTGTCTCTGATCACAAAAATTTATAAATTAGTAACAAATTTAAAATACATAAAAAGTCTCTGCCATCTGTATATTGAAAAATTTGCTTTTAAATAAAACTTTGATTAAACTAGAAGTTCAAAATATGATCTCTACTGGGAAAAAAAAGGTAATGAAAATTATTGTCTATTAGAACTTATTAGAACTCTATTAGATACATTAAAATAGTCCTTGGAATAAAATTTAAAACTCTAAATACACTTAGTGAGTAAATAAGAAAATAAAAAATCAAATAGCCAATTTGGAAAATTTAAGAACAATAAAATATACTGCGCAGAATAAAAGCAAGAGAAAGGAATTTGTAAGAGTTGACAAAAGATAAATGGAAAGCAGAAAAGCTGTAGGAGTCATAAATATAAAATAAGTTTTTGAAAATTACATATAAAACAGTAACAGTGTAGTAACACTATTACAGTGTAACAATACTTTCAAAATTCTTTAGGAAATTATTTTGCAACTTAGGGTTCTATATCCTGCACTTCCCAGGGATCAATACAGTCTTGCTTCCTGAGATTCTCACAATGGGTTCCTGAGCCGTCCGCAGAGACCTGAAGCCAGAATATGAACCAGAGGCTCTCTGTTCATGTCCTTTACTTACGTGTGTTTCACTGTCAATAACAATGCTGCCTTTTCCTAACACAGCTAGTCTTGTGCTTGCTACTCAGTTTGAATAGGAATCATGTTTCACACTAAGAAATGTAATTATTTGATAAACCCATAAAATACTTGGTTGAGAAATAAAACAAAATTAGAATGTATTTCAATGGAAAACCATCTTTAGTGAGCAAATACTACAAGCAGTACATTAAAGTTGCATGTTAATATGACTATTATTTAATAATGTTAGAGGTATTAACTGATGGAATTAGACAAAAGAAAGGAATGAACATTGTAACAACTGGCAAAGAGGAAGTAAATTTATCACTATGTTAGGTGATTGTATATTTTAGGTGATATATTTAGAGCTTCCAAGAGATTCAACTGAATGACACCTACAGTCAGTGAGATAATCAGTGTCATGGTAGCAAATCCAAAGCTTTCATGTACTGCCAGAATATTCCAAAACTGTTGTCAAGTAAAAAAATAACAAATGAATATGATTTAGAATATTATATGTAGGATGCTCTTTTTAGAATGGTGAATGTTGTGTTGTGGATGTGTGAAATTATTTGTATTTACTTGATGTATAAAATAAACACTTGTAGCTCAAACAAGAAACTAATACAATACATTTAATCATCCTTTGAAGGTACCGAGGGATAAAACTCATTTCTTCAAACTGAAAAACCCTACAATTATAACTCTCTAACCTTCTTAAAATTTGCCAGATTTTTTAAAGTAACTTTTGACTGTATTGCATAAAAAAGAAAATACTAATAGAGAAAACACACAGCATAAATTTTAGAAAACCAGTGGCTTAAAAATACATTGTTTTGACAAAACGAATTCAGCTTACATGAAAAAAATATTAATTTCACAGTTTAAAAGTTGAATTTACCTATTAGATGGATGCAATTTTGAGCAATGCATATTATTTTATACTAAATTTCCATTTCACACCAAGTCAAAGATATTCATTCATTACTTATGGAGAAGGGCAATAATAGAATATATTATTGAACTCAGAAAATATCATATTCCTTTGAAAATTTAATCATGGATACATTAAGCCTCTATAATATAGGCATTGTGCTCAATTCTGAGGTCTCAAAGGTGAATAAAGCAGAGTTCATTCTATAAGGTTCATGTCCTAAGGGGTTTTACCACAGGATATATCACTGTCGGTGTATTTCTTTGCATGAAAAATTTCAAAAATATGAGAGGTGATTATGATATCTGCAAACAAGTAGCCCTGTGCATTCATTCATAGGTATATGTACATGTAGGCCTGTTTGGCAACATTTTGTAGGCTGAAGAGTCCCACTCTTTTTGTCTCCTTGCTCCATTGACGTAATTCGTGGCCTCATCTGGTATTTCCTCAAAGGCTTGCACATATCATCCCCTTTCCAGATCGAGACCCTCTCTAGGGAAGGCCTCATTCCCTCCTCTTTACAGATGAACTCATCTGTTTGCTCCATCTCCAGTTTCCCTCTGGAGTAACACACTGCCTGGGGTGGGACACCTCGTTTACTCTTTCCAGAATCACCACTCCTGGATCCTTAGCGGGACGCAGCCCAGCTCCCCAGCTTACTGCACCAGGAACTACACCCATGCTTTCGCCCTGCTGCTCATACGTTGATATCCTCTAGGATGCCCTTCCCTTCCTTCCCCATTTCTTCCAGACCAAACAAGCTCCCTTAAATTAATTTCCACTGTGACCTCTCTCTTCAGTGAAGCCTTTTCCTATCCCATCGTATTCCCTTTGGGAGGCTCTGTCTCCTTCCTTAAACGTTTCTCCCTTCGATTCGTTAAAAACTAACAAAGTTGGCACCCTTCAGGGGACACTGAGGGCACTTATTTTGTCCTGCAAAGGAGGCTGGAGGTGGGAGACAGGAATTATTGAAAGAAACCAACAATACACGATGAAATCGGTGTCTTGTGAGAGACCTGAGCCTGAGGAGAGGTTTTCTTCCGACGAGCAAGAGATTCTGACACAACATCTATAATACTTAGACTTACTTCCAAGGGAGGGGAGCTTGACTTTTGTCCACTAACTTGCTCTTTATACCTTTCTTCTTCCCAGGGAGTGACAGTTCCTCACAAGCCTGTTTCTCTCCACCCTTTATATCAGACTAGACTCTATCCTCCTGCTAAGTCCCCGCTGCATCCACAGACCCTCTCCCATGCTGACTGTCTAACCCCAGGACCCTTCAGTCACGTGTCCTCCCTCTCACTGAGTGACGAGCAGAACTCCCACACCCTGTTCAGTCACAACGCGTTTAACAAGGTGAGCATTGCCTGCTGAACTGCGAAGTGTTCTGTGCTCTGAACCTTCTTTCTGCTCAGTTAAAACTGAAATCTAGAGGGAGCATGTATTAAGAATATTAAAATATTTAGTATTTAAGTATATTAAGAATATTAAATAGTTGTGTTAGAGCAAATGACCTTACGAAAAGATAATGACTAACCGTGAGAATTATTTTACATTTATTGTTGCTGTCAAAGTCATTTCCTGATTTGCATTCTTCATTGTTTTGTGTTCTAACCCTGAGGTGGAAATTGCAAGGAATTTTCTCAAACTTTATTAGATGCCATTATTAATTTATCTTCTAGTGTTGGTTCAATGTTTTTAAAAAGCTTCTTTGAATTACAGTGCCTTAATGAGGAGGAACTCATTCCAGTCAATGGGCAAAGGAATACTTAGAATTTCTGAATTATCTGTAAAATAATATTAACATTTTATTTTTAAATGTGTCTATCTGCATCATAATGTGTAGTAATGGGATGTGTAAAATATCCTGAGGTTGTTGGCTTTGGAATGCAGCCATAAATGTTCTATTAGAAGGAAGAAGTCAATACTACATGAGGCTTATGCCCTTTGCTCTTCTGGGCATTATCATAAGTACATCCTGGTTAGTACAGACTCTCAGACTGAAAATTTCCTTAAAGAATTGACTAGTTAAGCTCAATCTGCAATTAAATCTTCCCGTAAAATTCGAAGTCTTGTTAAAGTCATTTATTTTTCAAATTATCTATGTCTAACGAGATGCAATTGGAAGTCAATAAATCAAGTCATTCAGTCAAATCAATTGGCTCTCAATCAAGGCCACATAATATTCCTTGAACCCTGACATGTTTGTTTGAAAAAAACACTCATAAATTCAGTCTGAAGACCAGTTTCATCTAAAAAGTGAACAGTATTATATGAAAACAATTGCTTTTTTTATTTAAAAGATTCTATCATGACTGATCAACCCTGAATTAAATTTTAAAATATCCACTTTATGCAAACCAGATGTTTTTGGGCAAAGTTCAGGATGTCATTTTTGTGACCTTTGTTTCTTATTCTTGGTCTAAAAAAAAGAAGTTTTGAAAGTATATTTTTAAATGATTTAAAATTCTCCCCAATGTAAAGCCTGTCAATATCTATGAAATCCACTTAGCTATCAAATAGAATTGAAAATTCTGATAATAACACAACCGTGTTCTTACAAATCACCTATGATAGGGTTATAATTGTATTTTACAGATATCAATTGCACTAAATAGCTCATTCTGTTGATGTTTTGGTGGTTTTCTGAACCATTCAGCAAGGATAGAATCAGTATGTCATCCATATTTTAGCCTGTGATTGGTCAGGATGTAAAGAAAAACGTGAAAGTTATTTGAAGTTTGTCAACTATTTTCAGTCTGTACAGTCTTCACAATAGATTTTTGTTTTTCAGAGTCTGGGATTTACTGATAATTAAGAAATATTCACATCTGAAATAATAATAATAAATAATATACTTAGACAGTATTTCTTAATGGAAAATTCAATTGCTTAATCTTTTACTTCAATTACTCCTATTGAAATATATGGATTACCCAATTTGATATCTATGTTTACAAAGTTATTTTGTAAATATTAGGCCAATAGCATATTTAGTTATCAAGATTTGACTCTTTTACTTGACATAGTTTCTTGCCTGAAATTGTAAAACATAATCCACTACCTAAACTAACTTCTCCCCAGTATGCAATGTCATTCTCAGGCCTGATTTTATAGCTTCATCTGTTAGGATCATCTCCAAGACTACATCTTTCTACCCTTCCCCCTGGAGAGTCACACTGAACTTGACTTAACTATCTTTGATGGTCTGTCATGAAATGGGGTTATAGCAGGTGTTTAAAAGGTTTTATTCTCCCACTAAATCTATTATGTATTCCTCTTTTCTAAGTCCTCGGCAGGCCCAATATTTCCTAAATCCTACCCTAATCCCTACCCTCTTCTCTTACTTCCAAGGTAGAGGTCTGCCATATGATGTCATGTCATGTATATGGTGGTACTCAAGAACTTTGCTCCTCATCTTGAAACAAACCAATATACCTTTTCTTTGCCCTAGTCTCATGAAGCAGGTCATTACTCTTAATTTGTTTTTTTAATCCTTGAAAGTAATAAAGCCCAGTAGATAAGAGCATAATTTTCTAGGCAGTCTGTCTTAGTTCATTTTTGACTTCACTCCTTCCAGATGGTGATATTGGGTAGAAAAAGTCTCTGCACACCTCCCATTGCTCATCTGTAAAATGAGCATGATAGTAGTTGCCACCTATGAGATTAAGATGTACTAATATGTTCTAGGTACTACTAAGTAACATAACAAGAACCATTTAAGAGTGTCAGATCTTATTATTAACAAACCTTCCTGGAATGTCATTCCCATCGCTCTCCTAAATTTTCATTTAATCTTTTTCCACTGGGCTTCTCCTCTTTGAACCCCCCAAACAAAAACATCCCTTGGTGATGTTGCAAACCTAGTAATTTCCAGACTTGCTTTCTCTCAAGTGATCAAAGGCATTATTTCCATTCTCCTTCTATAAACTCAGTCTTTAACCCATTCTTAGATGCATTCTGTTTTCATTCAACCACTCTCTTGAAATTGCTCTCTCAAGGGTAAACTGCTTGTCAGCAAACGCAGTGGAACTTCCTCAGTCCTCTGTTTTATCCCTTGTAGCGATTGACATGGCTGATCATTCATCTTGAATCTCTCTCTTGACTCTGTTCTTGGGATAATATGTGCATTCCAACTCTCCACTGCTCCTTCTTATCTTTGCGTACACTTCCTTCTCTACGTCTTCTCCCTAATTGCTTCACTCAGATATTCACCCACTCACAGGCTTCAGTGATTATCTTTGTACTGATAATTCACAAATCCACATTTCCGATTCTCCTCTCCTCTGAGATCCAGCTTTATGTGGATGGTCATTCACCAAGTTGAATGGATTCTTCTCTTGTTATGCTGTCCAATTCTGCTTTACTTAAACCAATCTACTTATTTTCTGCCGGGCATGCCTTGGGAATTTCTTAGTGTTCAGCTTGCTCACGCATTTTCCCCATATCAAATACCTGTCTGATTTTCACCTTACTTATGCAAACTATTCTCATATTCTCATATTTTTTCACCTAATCAGGTTATCCTCCACCTCTCTGAAGTTTCCTCAGGCATCCACATTCAACGTGACATTTTTCTTTCAATTTCTGTGACTGCCTGTGCCAGGGTATCGATCTTATATATCTTACAGGTTACATTGCATTTATTTGTGGTGATTGGCTTCGGGTCCATCTAGGCCATGACATGCTTAATATATTTTTCACATGACAGGAATATAACAATAAATAAATATTAATGATGAACAAATTCTAAAATTTCCCAACTTATTTACTAGTTTGAATATTTAGGATTCTTTCTATTTTAAACAGAAATGAAATCTGAGCCAATTTATCAATTCATCTGTATATTCAGTAAAATTTCAGTTTACTGAAGATCTCATTTTGTATGAGCTACATCAAAACTCTGGTGAGCTTATGGGGTACCTCAGCATCAGAGCAAAGGTGGGGTAGAGGTGGGGAGGCAAGCGATAGCTGCTCTCCCTTTACTATATGTGGACTCTGGCGTCCACAGGGGTGTCCTTAGTTAGCCCTGTCTGCTGCACCCTCCTTCACCTGCCCAGCAGGCCCTCATTGGCTCTAGCTTAACTGCTTCTTAGCTCCCCTAGCAGGACATGCATGGGTATACGTTGTTCCCTGCATTCTGGGAGCAGGTAAATTCTGTGAGGCTATCTCAGAACTATCAGCTTAGATACTCAACAGATCTTGCTCTACTTTTCTCTTCCTGCCCTCTTTGCAGTAGGGAACTCCAAAGAAGTCCATTATTTGTGTATTTGCCTACTCACTGAAATTTCTGCAAAACCCCCAAATCATTATTAGCTCTACTTTTGGGATCATTTGTGGACATGTGAAGAACAGTGAAAACTTTGATTGGCCTGTGCACATGTTCCCAGCCTAGGGAACAAGGGGACACTCTGCTTTTGGGTTTCAGCTCTTGTGCTGAAAGCAAGTGTTCTGTTAATGGTCTACCTACTACCACATGTTTTGAATTTTTATGTTTTGAATTTTGTTGGTGATTTGACCCCGTCAGCACAGCGCTGAGGTGTTGTCTACTGTTCTAAGGACAAGAAGGCTGGGATGTGCCTCAGAGAAAATAGGCATGTCAGGTAAACTTCCTTTAGGCATGAGCGATAGTGCTGTTGACTGTGAGTTCAACGTTACTGAATCAGTAATATATATTAAATAAGGCACTTTTAAACAGAAACACACATGTATGATTGGTTAATGGAAGTAAAATAAAAAACTAACAGGAACTTAATCCTGCATTTAATCTTGGAGCAGTGGTTGAGATTTGCTGATTCCTTGTTTGGAGTGACTTTATAATAAGTAACTACTGCAAATAACAAGAACCCACTGTCTCTTTGGGTTTCCCTGAGAAGAGGATTCATATACAAGTAGTAGTTAATTTGGGAAGTGTCTCCAGACCAGTTAAGGGAGTGGGGAACAGAACCAGGAGGAGAAAACATCTAAGAAAAACACCTAAAGCATTAGGGCAGGGGTTAAAAAAAAAAGGTGCATAATGAAGCATATTACCACTATTGGTAACTGGATCTTGAGTTTCCTAGGGAATTCTGGGAGCCAGTACAGAAAGAACAACTCAGAGTTATGCAATCAGGGATTTGGGGGGTGGAGAATCCTGCTAGTCATTATTTGGGGACCATACCTAGAGAAAGGGAGCATTAATCCCCAGAAAGAGCCCTCAGGAACCAAGAAATAGAGACACTCATTTTTAAGTTCAGAGGCTGGTGCTAAAAATGTCAATGCCTAAGATGACATAGACAGGTCAGTGAATTATATTATATTTATTCACAAATCTTATTATCTAAATTTGAAGTTCAGGATCCTGTCAATCAAAACTT